GTTAATTCTTCCTTCTTGAGGCACTGTTACACTGGTGGCTGTGAATAAACTACATCCTTGATATTCATGCCTTTGCATAACCCCCTGCCCTTTAACCTGGGGTGGGTCCAGTTTACTAGAACGCAGCAGAATTGACATTGTGCCAGCTTTAGGCTTAAGCAGCTTCTACTTTTGTGCTCTTGGGAACCTTAACCTGCCATGTATAGAGACCATCTGCAGAAAGACTCTAAGACTACATGGAAGAAAACGAAGGAACTTGGCTGACAGCTAGAACTGAAGTCCCAGACATAACCCAGTTGAGCTGCTGCAGCCAGCCTGTAGCTGTTTGAACCATCCCAACTGAGGCACAGAACAAGTGAGTGAAGAAGCCAGTCTTCCAGACATCACATGGAGCAGACATGAGATGAGCCATTTCTGCAGTGCCCTGCCCAATCTGATCTACAGCAACGTGAGAAATAAGAAAATGACTGCTGCCTTAAGCCACTAAGTTTTAGGGCAGTTTGTTGCACAGCAATTAAGTAATCTAAACACTCGCTTAATGCCTTTGAATAGGCATTTATCAGGTCTTGCTTCCGTTTCTGAAAAAGCTTCCTAACCAGTCTCCCTGTTTTATTAAAATGCTATGCCCTTCCATATATCCTTCATGTTGATGTCAGAGTAATCTTTCTAAGTGATTATTTCTCCAATGTTTAAAATCCTTCAAGTTCTCTTACCTTATTTAAACAAAAACTCCTTAGAATTCTACATCTACGTGATGTCTCTCATTTCTTCTTTTCTGTCCCCTCACCCTGCCTTTACACTCTATGCTCCAGTTACATGGAACCTCTTGCCACAACTGTACCTCATGATCTTCCTATACCTCCATGCCTTTGCACATGTGACTCCTTCCTTCTCCCTAAGAGATCTTCTCTTCCTCTAACTTACAAAGGTTCTCATCAAAACACCTCAGGGATTAATCTCTCCAAGAAGCTTGGCTTTAAAACTTTCATTCCCAAGCTGGATTAGATCCCTTTCTTTTTGTATACCTTTATCACACCACTTATATCAAGAATTGGAGCGAAAATTTTTTCAATTTTCCTAAGGTATATAGCTAGTATCATTCTAGAGGTATCAGAGAGACATTAATTCATTATATACAATGAATGTCTGAGGGCTAATTCTCTAGGACGGGTAGAGGCATTGCTCCCATTAGAAGAGCTGTTCTAAACTACAAATTCTTTCAAGGACAAAAACTGCTATCTTTATTACTAGCATAGACACTAGTTTGTGCTCATTTGTTAAATAAAAAGAAAATGTAAACAGCTACTGTCCTCAAAAGAGCTTCAACGGAAAAATATAGAAATTCAGTAACCCAAAGAAGTTTTTAATTTCTGAGAACAAATGCCAGGTTTTCCAAGATGCAATCTCTGCCACCACATCTTAACCAATTTATGTGTTCCCTAGTGCCTGGCACATAGTAAGCATCCAACTATTTGTGAAACTATCACCTTCATTGTTTAAATGATCTTCATCTTGAGCTGTACTCAACTAGGCACTGCAATGTCACTCAGTGGCTATACACAGGTTTGGAGTCCCAGACCTAAGAAATACTAGTTCAAATGACCACACAGATGAAACTGTGAGAGTATCTGTCAAACACAATTTCATTTCACTTTGATGACACACATAATCCTTAACTTATTATATCTGCACTTTGATAAAGTTGGTGATATGAGACTAAGAAATAAAACCTCTATCAAACTGTCAAGTAATGCATGAAATATAGTACAGTAAAACTTTAAATAGGTATCCAACCAAACTTTTATTGGGGTCTTATTGCAATCTCATTTCAGCAATAAGGGGAAAATGACCATAAGAAGAACTCTGATGACATTATGCAACAAAACAGTTTTTCATGAATGTGTAGTCAGTTCAGCTTCCAGTACCAACTTGAGTACCTAATCATGGAGATTTATGCCAGAATGACAAAAGTAAGGCATTGCAAGATCCTAAATCATCTAAGATTAAACTGTATTTTACATATTATAATTTTTAGTACAGTAAAGTATACTAATACTCTACAATAAATAAGAATTTTTAAAATGTGTTGCTTAGCCCTTGAACTAAATTCAATTAGCTCATTGAGTACTCCAGTTAATAAAGGTTTGACTGTACTTCAAGAACTGACTTTTCCAAAGATGAAAAATTAGTTATTTGTTATGACAAAAATTAAGTTTTAAAAGCACATTCACACTTGTCCTTAAAAGCATGTTTACATCATACATGAAATAACTTCTAATGCCTGATGACATCGTTTATATGGCAAAAATAATAATATGCAAATGATAACTAGAGGGCAATCCTCCCATCCCCACTTCCTCCAAAGAGCCACACTCAGTCTCAGTGTAAAAGTTATATTTTATTGCCATGCTACAAAATGTATGAAGTTGGCACTGATAGGCAGAAATAGAGAATAAAGGGTAGGAAGGGATGGAGGGCAAATGATGTTGTTATGTATACAACAAGGTTTTATTTTAATTAACAGTGGTAAGTTTTGCCAATATTAAAAATGCAAACCAAAATTTAAAATGCTGATATGACACAGCATTAAAATACAATTTATGCATAGTACAGTATCACTTATATCTTTTATTAGAGAAATATGGAATGTTTATAAAAGAAATTGACCACAGGGGGTAAAATTCATATTTCATATACAATTTGGCAATGGTAGTCCCACTGTTAGACAATTTTTATAAAAGAAAGAATGAAAAATCTAATGAGCTACCTTTATACAAAGATGCTATATTTATGCCTTTATGTAGGAAAAAAAACATTTATAATGCAAATTAGGACATACAATAATCTTACAATATTATACAATGTAATGAAAATAAAAACATAACACACAGTTTGTCCTTTATAAAATGTATATTTTGCATTTACTAATGCAAATGTGGCACACTGGTGACTACTGTACTATTAATACCAGTCTGTTTCCATGCTATAATTGTCCAATTGTCATAGAACTGCAGTTATGATGATGCTACTGAAGAACTGTGTTATACCCTCAAAAAATGAGGAAGTAGGGATGAGGAATAGGGATGTAAAGAAAAGGAAAGATAGGGTGCTGGTTTGGGAGAGTATATTGTGGTATGTCATAAAATATTTGTTAATGTTTCAAGCCAAAAACATTTTCTATACATTCTATAATTTCGTACCAATGCCTTTATTCAAATTTGGCAAACATCAAGGAAAAAGTAATTAGTACCATATACCTCACAGATCAGAAATATGAATGAGATGCCAATACATCAGTTACTTCTGAATGATGTTTCTGATGGTAGTTCTATTTCAAGAATATATATATTTACACACACACACTACACATTGCACAAAACACTTGGGCATTATGGATTAGGAACAGTACAGGGGGATCTGGGAAGTACTTTTTAGCTTGTTGAAACCTTACCTTGAGGCAAAAATATGGTGGCACGTTGTTGGGAAATTATGAAAACATAAGGCCCCTGTCCCATTTTTAATAGAACATTATTGAGGTACATTTTTATATGCTGTGCCACAGATTTGGGGGGAAGGGTAAAATAAACATACACTAGCTTGACTTATTCTTATAACATTGAACTAGAGGTCAACATTAATATCTATAAAAACAAAGTTTGCTTGGCAAATTTTCCTAAGTCCCAAATATGATCTACTATGGATATACTGGGAAGTGAAAAGCTTTTTGCTGAGTCTTCAAGAGTAAAGTGCATATCTAATCACTCCACAGCAGCAGTAAATAAAAGGAACTATTTGCCAATCTTCCATGAGGGAGGGAAGGCACCATATTTTCATTTTTATAGGAAGATGAAACTGGGAAATAAAATACACTACAATCAACACAGATAATACCCATATCAGTTTCCAACCCTGGTCTAGGATAAATGTTGTTACGATCCATATGGATAAAAGAGGATTCTATTTGGGGAAAAACACATGAACGATGACTTTAAATTTTCCAAAACCAAAAAGTGGGACCACATGGTCTATCAACAGAACAGAATATCTAAAATTATGTCTGTTTCAGACATATGGCCACAATTATATATCAATATAATATTTCATTCTAAAATGCATCTAGCAACAAGTACGTTCTTTCAGGACAGAGCTTAATGTTCATTACTAGACTACTGCAAAGGACAAGTAGTATTCTAAATTACTTTTTATTAAATAGGAACACAGGTGATTTCTAAGAGACATTTAGAAATTAACATCAGTTGTATATATCTTCCTAATATTCTTATAGTACCTAAAATCAAATTTTTAGCAGACAAATTGGTCCCATTTTCATTTTTAAAGCACATAGTATTTAAAGCATAAACTGTAATGATTATATTGCAGTTATCTAAAAAATATAAAAACTAATTAGAATCTGGAGGAAAAAATGAAAGGATGAGGGAAAGAAAGAATAAAGTATCCAACCTCCAAAATGAATAAATAGATCAGCCCTTTCATTTGGAGATTAATGGTCTGCCCTGATGGCTTGTTTCAGAGAAAACCATGTGCAATGGTTCCATCATAATTCTTAGTCCACATTACAAAAACCATTACATAAATTTGGCACAATTAGCAATCTACTCTGAAGAAAGGATAAATGGAACAATACATTAAAAATGGAAACTGCATCAGGGACACTGCATGCGTACACCACTGCTCTTTTTAAGAAAACAGTGAACACTTTAATAAGCACCAAGTTTACAGAAACAAAAGGGCGGGGGCAGAATTCTGCTATGCATATAAGCCAACGGCACTGAAAATGATAAAGACACCTTTAATAATTTATTTTCTTTATAATGATCCCACTCTGTTGTTCTGCTAATCCATTCATTGTCCTATGATTAGGTTATTTATTGAATAGGTTGGATGCTATATGACTAAAACATTTTCATGCTAAGTTAACCTTAGTTATATCTGGTAGATCCAGATCGTAATCTCAAACTTCCTCATACTTAGAGAAATCATTTTGCAAGGTTACCTAACCTTCTTTCCACTCTACCCTCTCATATTCTCTAGTGTTTGAGGAATTGTAACATTCTTGATTTTCCAAGAGATTGCCATATGGACTCTCATCAGTTTATATAAACTTCAATTCATTTTAAATCCTAAATTATGACACAATCTCATTGCTACAAGATTTGCACTGTACCTGCTATGCTGGCAACAACATTAACATGAATAATCAAAGATCCAGCTACAAGTGAAAGTTCAGCAGAGCTGACTCTAGGAACACGAGAGTCGGCAGAGTACAACTGCAGCCGTGTAGCTGAGGGAATCACTGCTAAAGTGCTGGGGGGAGTGCCCACAGAGAAAACACAGTACCTTTAGGAACCTGCATGTTAAAAGTATCTTCCTTTTTTTTCTCAGCTGCTAAAGCGATCACCTATGGACACAGTGAAATTTAAAATTTGAGAGAATATTTTTATCAACTTGAAAAGTAAACAGCATATAAATAAATACTGGACAAGGGCAACCCTGTTATAGAATAACAGTAAGTTCCAAATGAACCTTCAAAACCATAATTTGACAAAAATGCAAACTAAACAACAATGAACACATAATCCAACTTCAAAACTATATACAAACTAAAACATTTTAAATTGAAAAAGACATTAAGCAACAAAATAAGACATCCCAAACACCAAAGGAAAAAACTGAAGGTAAATGAAAACCTAAAGACACAAATGCCTCCAGAAAACAATTTGTTGTCAGTATCTATAGGAGAGAAACTTTCAAGAGACAATGATTCAGATTTTCAAATGTTTTTGGGTAAAGTGACCTGAGACTGATACTTGAGCCTATTATAATTCTTAGTAAGATATCTGGACATGGCCTTCAAATGACATCATGAGATGAGTAAACAGAAAATCTTATCTCCTTCCTGTCTTTCGGCACACCAACAGCAAACCATATTCATGGATACAGGGCTCTTTCTAGTAACAAAGACGACAAAGGAGCTGACTGGTATAAAAAGAGGTGTGGTACTTCTGTTTCCTTTACATATACTTTGGCTCAAGTCAAAACGCCTTTAATTAATGAAATAAAGGATTCCTCATGTTACATGCTGGAGGCCACATACCATGAACAGTGAATCTACAAATATTACTTTCAAAGCCTAGAGTTATCTGCTAGCAATGCACATCATCAAGAGAGGTTTTATAAAAACTTTTAAATGCCAACCATGACTTAGACATGAAAGATATGCGTAAGTCCAGAATATTGATAAAAATCAACCAGCATGTCATTCACTTCAACTCTCATTTTAAATAGGCACTGTGAAAATGGGAATGCTGCTGTACAATAATGAGTAGTATATAATGAAATTAGTGTTCTTTAAGGAGTATCTGCTCTACATTAATTCCCTTTAGTTAAAGATGCACATGAAATATTCAGAAAAAATTTTTTTTTACCAGTCTATAAAAGGAGTTAGTGTTTAGAAATGAAAATGAAGCACTTGCATCTTCATTTTTAAAAACTTCACAAAGGTGCAAACAACATAATGCTTTCCAGGCTCACATGGGCAGATCAGTACTATTATGTCTAGTTTTCCTAGATGTACCATCATCTCGTGGCAGTGCTTTCTGCAAATTTGACATAGCAGCAGTTCTCTCAATGTCTATCACAGCATACAGCTCTGTGCGCCTGGTAGGGGTTTGCGGAAGGGGAGTGGTAGGCGTTTTTGGAGTCTGAGGGTTGTCAGAGTCACTGCCACCTTCCAAGTCAACCTGTATGTAATTGAGCTGCCTGTGTTCTAAACTTGGGCGTCTGATATCAAAGTTGAAGACTGTCGGTGTACAGTCCCGACGCCTTGAATATTCTATTTTGTGAGCACTTGCCGGCACTGTTACATTCTCTGTATTTACATAGTTGTGCATTGGATCTAGATTATTATGGTAGCCATTTAGAGATGGGGTCTTTGGTCCTAAATTGTCATCTTCATCCCTACTTAGTTTGCGAGCTTCCCAAACAGGAGGCAAAGATGGTAAATTTTCATAGTTTAATAATGCAGTTCTTCTCTGAGCTGAATTGTTGATATTCTGGGTATCTGAGGTACTGGTGGATGTGAGACGACCTCTCCTGACCCCTGAGGCACTAGGAATAGATAGCCCATTTATATTTTCATACACCAGTTTGTTAACACAGGGTGCATCTCTTCGTTCATCACTATCATAGCCAGTGTCCCATTCTGTGTTATTTGCAACAATTCCACTAATTTCTCTTCCAAGTTGCTCCAGTTTCTCTTTTTCCATTAATTGCTTTTGAACAGGAGTTGGTCCTAAAACAAATTTGACTCCTTCAGGTTCAAGAAGAATCTGAGGGTCTCTGTCCTCAATACTACTTGGTTCTTCTTTTGGTGTGTTGCTTTCAGCATTAGAAACCCTTGCTTCCAATGGGACATGCACACTTGTGCGGTTTTTCCGCTCTTCTTGCACACCTGTAGTGTTGACATACGTATGTACCTAAAAACAAAACAGAAACTCAATCAATAACTTACTTAAAAAACAAAATAAAACAAAAAAAGCCTGACTACATCAGTTAATTTTATTGATTAATGTTCTCTCTAAATGTACTTTTTTTTTTTTAAAGATGACCAGTACGGGGATCTTAACACTTGGGTTGGTGTTGTCAGCACCACGCTCAGCCAGTGAGCGAACCAGTCATCCCTATATGGGACCCGAACCCATGCCATGGTCTTGGTGTTATCAGCACCGCACTCTCCGGAGTGAGCCACGGGCCAGCCCTAAATGTACTCTTAATTCAAAACTTTTACACCTCCTCTTTTTTACTAATAAAAAGATGGGGAGAAAGGGATAAATACAGAAATATCTTCTCAATTTGATTTTTAAAAGTAACTACTTTAAATTAACATGTAGCATTATACTTGATGATAAAACATGAGAAGTATTCTGTAAAAAAAAAAAATCAGAAACAAAATAGGGATTATCATTTTGATGTTTGTTCTAGAACCTCTTATCAATGCATTGAAACATGATTCAGAAATAAGAAATAACAAATATTGAAAAGAAAAGAGAAATTTATCATTATTTGCTAATGATCTGACTGTATAAAGAGATAAACTCTACTAGATGCAATAAGAGCTCTGTAAAAGGCATGGATATAAAATAATTACCACCTAATAAGAAATTATAACTATTTTAAAAATCTCAATGTTGGGCCGGCCCGTGGCTCACTCGGGAGAGTGCGGTGCTGATAACACCAAGGCCCCGGGTTCGGATCCCGTGTAGGGATGGCCGGTTGGCTCGCTGGCTGAGCGTGGTGCTGACAACACCAAGTCAAGGGTTAAGATCCCCTTACCGGTCATCTTTTTAAAAAAAAAAAAAATCTCAATGTTATTTTGGGGAGAAAAATATAGAAATGTTTGGAAGTCTATATATAAAACTTTAAAGATTCAAACATAATATGCAAAACCGGGAAAAAGGTAATTACAGCAAATAATGTAAGAACACACTTACCATGTAAAGACCACAAAGAGGACACTTAGCTGACTTGGGAGAGCATGGTGCTGGTAACACCAAGATCCCAGGATCAGATCCCCATACAGGCCAGCCACCAGAAAAAAACCCAAAACAAAACAAACAAACAAAAAAAAAACACCGCCACAAAAAATTGATTTTAAAAACACTAAAAACCTCTTAATGATAAATAACACATAGTTTACAAAAGAAACCTATAACTAATAGAGAGATAATATTCAACCAGATATTTTTATTCCACAAATACACAAATAAAAGTAGAACAGTCAAGAACACTCAACAGCTCCATTAACAACATCAACAACAAAATCTACCTTCCTACTAGTAGTTCACTAACTATAAAGACATATGAAAAGCAGCATAAATTCTTAATCCATTTGAGGGTGTTATAATGGGAATTAACCATTAGTTACATCTTTCTTAATCTACAGATACACTCTCCTGAGAATCCACAAACTACTGTAAGGCTAAGTTTCCCTGAAAACCTGCATATATTTGAGCATATACCAATAAATATGCTATTTCCTCTGAAAAAGTAATTTACAATCTCAAATTGAATAAAAAATTCAAATTGAATAAAATCTTCAGGTGTTAGCACATAACACTTTAACTCCACACAATCATTATCACTGGTATACAACAGCACTTGCTTACTTGTTCCTCAGCCACAAGCAAAGGATGTGTAGATTCTTCACCTACTGAAGGCAGGCGAGCACTTCCCACGGAAGGATGTCTGCTGGAAGGATGGGATGAAGCATCTCCAAATGAGGGATATCGGGGATATCCATTCGGTAAGTTCTGAGCAGCAAACCCTGGAGCTGAGTTTTTGTTAATTGGTTTAAGGAGAAAGGCAGGATAGGGGGATAGGGCAGAGAGTATAAAAATAAATGAGAATCTAATCTGCACTGAGAGGATTAGGGAAGGTGTTTCTACCAATATACAGCAGAAATAAGCATACAAACAGCACCTCCCCTATTTTAGATAATAGGGAATATTATAACACCAAGGTCAAGGGTTTACATCCCCACACTAGCCAGCTGCCTAAATAAGTAAATAAATAAATACATAATATTTAAAATGTTTGTAACTATAGCTAACAGTTTTTTTATAATAGCCATTATACTTATGTTAACCAGTGGTGATTTCTAGTATGTTATACGTTAAATTAAATATCCATTATCTGTAGCTTGTAAATGTCTGTTATTCAAACTATGAGAGGGAAAATGGGTACTTACTTGTAGGTGTTCTAGGTGTTCTAGGGACTTCCAATTCTGTCTGATGATTATTCCTTTCTACAACTGGCTCTTCCACCACATTTATACTATTATTTTGCATAATCTCTTGTAACATGTTAAATAATTCTTCTGCACGGGCACACTTAAAGGCAAAGATACCTACAAATGTAAACGAAAAGAGAAAAATGATTAACATGTCTTTAAGAAAGCTACAGGAACGCCTGTCAAAGAACAAAATTTCAAAGTAATCATTCTGTACACCAATAGCAAGAAAGGCCTTTTAAATAAATGTCTGATAAATTAATGACCTTCCCTGTTTCAAAACATAAACTGAAAAGTTCACAGAATAATTTTTATTTGTCTAGGAGAGATGGCCCCAAACAAAGCAGAAAAAACAAGATTTACACACTTACTCTAGCCTGCTTTTTAACAGCAGAGGGAGCCCAACTCACCACTACTAAAGTGATCATTTATCATTTAACAGGCCCACTGCTAGGTGTTTTACAATCATTATCTTGTTTAATTACTACAATAATTCTGTAAGATAGGTGTTAGCCATCCCCCTTTTATAGAGAATAAATCTGAAGTTTAAATGAGGTCATGTAACTTGCCAAGGCCATTCAAGGTAGCAAAGAAAAAAAAATCAAACTATGTTCTGTTTGACTCCGACGTTCAGGTTCCTTCCCCACAAATTATAATAATAAAGACACCTGGTCAATTCAGCAGGACTAATCACTTACTGAAAATCTTAAAGTTAACATGAGTCAAAATTCCTGACATAAAAAATGTGCTTAATAAATACTTGATAAATGAATACATAGTTTACTATATGTTAACAACCCACTTATTTTGGGAATTTTTTTCTTTTGGGGAAAAGTAAAATATTAATTTAAACACTATATACAGAATAACTGAAAGAACAATATTTCAAATATGATAATATTTGGAGAAAACAAAGGTTCTACCTACCTTGTCCAGTTTGACACCTTCGACCACTTTCAAAAGAAAAGAGATTTGAGTCATAGCCATAGCGTCGCAGGCAGAGGTAGTGCCATTTTACAGAGTCACGTTTGCGGGTATATAAAATCAGTTCTGTGTCTGTAAGTTCCATTATGCCAGAACCTAACTCATTCCCATCATCATCGACATTAATGACCTAAAAAAAAAAAAAGGTGACAGTCATATAAATATTCACCAATCATGAGGAAAATGCACTGTGGCTAACTGGTTCAGTTATGTGCTGTTTTGTTAGTTCATTCATCAAACAATGTGTGTGCAGGGCATGGACTGCATAGCAGTATAATACCCAGTTCATATCTGTAAGTAATTTACATTCCCACTGAGGAGACAAGATATACAAACACAAAGTCAACACCACAAAACTAGGTATGATTAACTGACAAATGAATGCAATAGAGGTTACAGAAGTCAGGAACTGTGGCCTAAGGTGCTTGGAGAAACCTTCACATAAGAGGAGGAGGGACTTTAGCTAGACACTGGGTATAATTAAATTTAGAAAGGAAATCAAATAAGAGGGGAAATCTGGTGGGTCAAGAGATGTAGGACACATCATGAAGATGCAATAGTAAAGGAGAAAAAAGAAAATAAGATTGGCACAGAGTTCAAGTAAGGAAAGGTCTTGCATTGCTGGGCTTCAGAAAATGTCCAAAGACTAAGAATAGTAGATAACATTTACAGGGTAGTTACTACTCCCCTGGGACTGAGCAAAGTGCTTTACATGTACTTTTTTCATTTAACCCTCATAACAATCCTAGACTGCAGGCCTCCTTTGTACAAAAACAGAATTAAGACTTAGTAGTAGTATAACCTGCCCAAGGTGGCAAAGCTATGAAGTAACAGTGTTGTGACTTCCACCTAAGTTTGTGTGATCCAGAGGTCATGATTTATAGCAGACTAAGGTCAGATTACGGGAGAAACTAAACGGTTATGAGAGCATTTAGTTAGCCTATAGATAACAGAACACCACAGAAGTTTTAGCGAACATGTTGTGAATGATAAGAGAGGAAGATTATTTGATGGCGACTATAGGATGGATCACAAGGTGACTGGAGGTATAGTTGAGTTAAGAAATCATCCAGGCACATATGAAAATAATGGCTGTAAGGCAGTGATAAGATTGAAAATGCATTTATAAAATGACGTTTTAAAGAAAGTATTACCAGAACTGTGTGGCTAACTGGATGCAGAAGACCAAGAAAAAGTAAAAGAGAATTCCATACTGTCATTAAGAAAATGTCATCATTTATTAAAACAAGAAAAGGCAGAGTGGGAAAAAAAAGGAACTAAAAGGGTCTGATGATAAAAGTCAGGAGGTAAGATATGTTAATGAAGTAAAAGAAGAGCATCCAAGTAGGCACTGAGGTACATAACTCAACCAGTTTCACTGACCTTAAACTTGTTCCGATGGTTGTCTGGGACAGTGTCTTTATCTGGACAGCTACAACAGCTACCCATGGCTTCTTCAGAAGACCATGTGAGCACTACATGAAAAATAATTTGGAAAAAAGTATTATATATAGGATATAAAAGTCATAAAACAGAGGAAGACTTTAGAAATCATCTAACACAAGCATTATTTTGATGCATAAAATTAAGCCCAACAAGGTATATTGCTGAAGCTAGATTTCACACAACTGGGCAATTTTGCTCGGTGACAACAAGAATAAATTCTGTGAGACATCACAAAAATCTCAAATTTCCAGTTGAATTTGCAAAGATCTGCCTATTCTAAAATTATCTAAAACCAGTTTAAGGTCTCATATATAATACTATTTAAATATTTATAGTTATTTTAAGAACTAAATATTGAATCAACCCTTTATGGCTCATCATGAATTTCATGTCCTTCTTTTAAAAATTGCCAAAGGGGGCCGGCCCGGTGGCGCAATGGATAGTGCGCCGCTTGGGAAGTGCGGCGGCGCTCCTGCCCGAGGGTTCGGATCCCACATACAGACTGGTTCCCGCTCACTGGCTGAGCGAGGCGCAGGAGCAGCACCGAGGGTTGCAATCCCGTCGCCGGTCCCCGGTCCGGTACGGGGGCAACACTGAGGGTTGCGATCCGTTGCCAGACACAGAAAAAAAAAAGACAAAAGACAAAAAAAAAATTGCCAAAGGGATGCTAGACTTCTGGCTTGGCAGGTATTTGATTCTTGTTATTCATTCTACTATTTTTTAAGTACCATGGAAGACATGAGTTCATTGGTAAATAAGACAGAAAATCAAATCTGGAATAGTACATTAATAAGAGAGAAAGGCAACTCGAAATTCCAGCATTACTGTCACACATAGAACACTGGCAAACTGATATAGCATATCTAGTCAATCCTTCCTTCCCCACAGGAGGATAGAGATGAGAGGTTACACAGATGACATTACGTGCTCAAGAAAATTTCAAATGAAATGAACAAAGAAAAAATTCAAAGCATCACTTACAAACAAGAGAAAGAAATAGAATGAATGTGACATTGTTTGAAAAAGGGAAAGAGAACACAGTCTTGTAACTCCAAGGTCAAGGGTTCAGTTCCCCATACCAGCCAGCCACCAAAAAAAGAAAAAAAGAAAAAGGGGAAGAGTCCAACTGAGGAATTGAAGGAAAAAAATGGAGGGAGGGTAAGGGAAGGAAGCACAGAAGCTACAAAACATCACAAACATAAATCTGATTGAAACTTGCTTAAAATTCTTCAGTGGCTCTCTACCACCTCCCGGATAAAATTTAAAACTCTTCAGTATGACATAAGATCCTTCACAATCTGATCCCTATTTACAGGTCCAGTCTCCCTTCTCTCTGTCTCAAGCTCTACCATCAGTCCAGGTAGACTAAGCTGCAGTTTCCCCAGAGTGCCTTGCTCTCATATCCTTCCATGCTGCTCCCCTGGTGTCTCTTTCATTTCTCAAGATTCAACTCAGACTGCAATGCCTCTAGGAAGCCTTCCCTGACACTAACCATCTGGGTGAGTTATATTCCTTACGTATCACCATCTCCCCCCTCCCCCGCCCCAAGCAACCTGGGTTTCACAGTATCATAGCATCTATCACACTTTGTTCTCTGTAGAAATGGTAACAGGTTGTCTTTTTGTTTATCTTCCCCCCCCCCCACTAAGAGCTCCTTCCCACCTTATTCATTTTTATATTCCCAGTTCCTAACATACCTAACACATAGTATGTGCTTTAAGCCCTTTGTGAGTTTAATGCGCTGTACTAAACAAAGGTAAAGAATGTCTGGCAGATATAAGTATTAAGAAGATGAAATAGTATACTAGTGTATAATAAATCAAAAGAAATGATAAATAAAATAAAGTTAATTATGGGCCGGCCCGGTGGCGCACTGGATAGTGCGCCGCTTGGGAAGCGCTGCGGCGCTCCCGTCCGAGGGTTCGGATAGGTAAAGAATGTCTGGCAGATATAAGTATTAAGAAGATGAAATAGTATACTAGTGTATAATAAATCAAAAGAAATGATAAATAAAATAAAGTTAATTATGGGCCGGCCCGGTGGCGCACTGGATAGTGCGCCGCTTGGGAAGCGCTGCGGCGCTCCCGCCAAGGGTTCGGATCCCACATACAGACCGGTTCCCGCTCACTGGCTGAGCGAGGCACGGGAGCAACGCCGAGGTTTGCAATCCCGTTGCCGGTCCCTGGTCCGGTACGGGGGCAACACTGAGGGTTGCGATCCGTTGCCGGACACGGAAAAAAAAAAAAGACAAAGACAAAAAAAAAAAAAAAAAAAAGTTAATTAAGACTCATGATATTTGGAATTTTCCTCTAATATGCCAGCTAAGTATCATGCTGCAAAGATGTGGTCACGATACCTCTGAAGAGCCATGATTGTAAAGGGAGAGAGAGAGATGTAAACTAAGAATGCACAATGATAAACCTTATATCAGAATATGAGCAGAGAATCATGGGCACAGCAACTAACTTTCTGGGTTAGGCAGGAAGGGAAGCACTATTTGAGCTGGAGCATAAAAGGACAGCAGAAACAGCGTGCTAAGCAAAAAACAGAAACAGGCCCTTGAGACAGATAAAAAAGTACATACAAAGGTCATGAAAGGTCACAATGAATTCAGGAGAAAGTAAGGGATTCAGTACAACAGGAGCACAGGGTAGACTGTAACACAAGTAGGGACTGAACCATAAAGCATTCTGAATAACAAGCTAAGGATCTGCGACTTGATCTTCCAACCAACTTGAAGCTAGCCTGCCTCCAGTGTTCCAACAACAGAATGGGCATAACTCTGTCATGGCCTTTAACACACTCTATTGTAATGTCTATCTGTCTGAACCACCTGCTTCACTGTGATCTCTCTGAAGATAGGAACCATGTCTTCTTCATTTTCCAGGGCACTTAAGCATACTGCTTGACATTGCAAACGTTCCATAAATGTTTAATATTCTCAAAAATTAATAAATATTTAATAAATTATAGGATGAGGAGGATAAATATACTAAAAATTTTTAAATAAAGAGATAATTGATAAAAAAAATTTTTTTAAAGGTCTTCTTGAAATTACACATGCATCCTCCCCTTTGATCCCTTATGAATTTAAAGAGCTAAAGGATTACTATGGTATGGCTTTTGCCTCGAAAGATGGTACTTCGAAGGAATGCCTTTAAACTATTTTCCAAAAACAGCAGAAAAACCATCCTTCCACTTGCCACCTTGACTACCTGGTTAAGGCAAAAACTCTCATTTGGTAGTAGACATGCAGTCTATTTGGGGACTCTATCCACACTGAATGTTTCAGTTCAGTACAAAATAATTAATTAAACACCTAATATATGACACAAAAGCCTTGTATGCCATGTGAAAGAGAAAGAATTTTATCCTACACATGATGGAAAGCCACTGATGTGTTTTAAGTAGGAAAATGAGATGGTCAGACATGCACTTTAAATACAGCCATCTGTAGGATAAATTTAAGTAGAAGTTTAGCTCATAGCAAAGGAAATCAGTTAGGGACTATTAAAAATGAAATAAGATAAAGACCTAAAACCAGAGCAGCAATAGTAGGACTAAAGAAGAAAAGGATGAATTTATTTATGAGGAAAAGTCAGTGGCACTAGTGGCTGGCTTGGTATAATAGAAGGAAGAGTCAGTTTCCAGCACAGCAGATTGAGAGTGTTGGTTCCAACAGCTGAGATAGGAAAAACTGGTAGTCTTCAAGTGGAAGTGATGATGATTAGTTCAGTTTCAGATATACTAACTTGAGATTCCAGAGAAAAACCAAGTGGAGACATGCAATAAGAGAGTTAAGTGCACAAGTATGGGTTTAAGACATAAAATATTATTAGAACACGTAGTATTTGGAGGCTGGCTGGTTAGCTCACTTGGGAGAGCATGGTGTCCGTAACACCCAAGGTCATGAGTTCAGATCCCCATACAGGCCAGCTGCCAAAAAAAAAAAAAAAGAACACGTAGTATTTAAATCTATGAAAAACAAGATACTGCTCAACACTGTTCAAGGATAATGTGAAGGATGCTCTGTGGTTAAAATTCTGGGGGAATACAAATATGTTTAAGTACAGGAATAGAGAGAAGCCAGTGAAGGAGAAGGAAAAAAAAGGATCAGAATAGTACAAACTAAGAAAAGAAAGCATGAAGAAAGAGGGCCCCATCCACGGTGGAGTAACAGAAACAGATGCCAAACTGCAAGGAGAAGATAAGGAAGATAAGGAAATAGTCCACAGAGGATGGAAATTAGTCTTTTGAGGACTGGCTGAGAAAAGAAAGAGTAAGGTGCTCAGGTTTGGACAGATAAAGGTTCAAAAGAAAAAATGCTGCTTGAGTTATTAATTGTTTTAAGATGACATAGATAACATAGGTAGGCTTGTAATCAGTAGGTCAGGAAAGGTTAAAAATATAGGGAAGAAAAAAAAAAAACAACAAAGGAAAGAGAAGGGCTAACTGATGGATCAGGACAGAGGGGGAAACTAGAGAAAATGCATTCCAGGGCCCAGACTGAGAGGTTTATCCAGAGGAGGAGGAATGCCTCACCCTTCAAGGAGAGAAGGAAGATATAAGGACGGGTGAAGCATAATAGAGAAGCTAAAGTAAACAACCCTGATCATCCTAAATTTCTTTGGTAAAATAGTGGGCAATTCTTGAGGAGATGGTAGGATTAGTAGCCAAGGAGCTACCCAAGAACATGTAGCAGGATTATTAAAGGCAGCAGGCTATGATGAAAGCTCAGCAGAGGCTGCAGAGCAAGATTATGCTGTTTTGCTAGCTACACTCAGCAGTCCAAAGGGTAAACAGTTCACCTGACCCAGGATCAGAGAGTAGAAGGCAAGGAAATTAAAGGATGCTGGCAATACAGGGGTTTGTAGTGATGGATCATCAGATCTGGTAGGAAAGAAGTACAGAAAGAGGAGGGCTAACAAAATAAGAGAAAATGGAAGCAAAAACCTCAATAAGGTTAAAGAATAGGCTTAAATAAGGTTAAAGAATAGGTTTAGAATGAGTGAGGGACTGAAATAGTTGGAATATGGGCAGTTGTGGTGAATCTTCCAACTCGTGGCAGTATACTTTCTAATGTGGAGTTTTCATCCACATCTCTCTCTCCTCCTCCTGAACCACGAACTCCTAAGCAGGAGTACAGGCTAGATACTGGATATTCTGCATTTATGACCACCAGATTAATATTTGGAGGCCACATCTGAGTTACATGAGACCTAATAAGATGCATTATCATTATTCTAAACACTTGATGAGCAACCATGTGATCTCATCAGCATACACTCCTCCAAGTTCATAACTCAGCAAAAATACAAATGGTCTTATTATGTTCCCTCAAGAAAGCAACATACCAAAGTAAAGGTACATTCAAGAAAAAAAGGTAGCTTCTGATTGGGAAGATCAATACAAGGGTATGTCAAAAAGTTCATGGAAAGGGGCCGGCCCGGTGGCGCACTGCTACAGTGCGCCGCTTGGGAGCGCAGCGGCGCTCCCGCCAAGGGTTCAGATCCCATGTACAGACCGGTTCCCGCTCACTGGCTGAGCGAGGTGCGGGTGCAGCACTGAGGGTTGCGATCCCGTTGCCGGTCCCGGTCCGGTACGGGCGCGACACTGAGGGTTGCGATCCGTTGCCGGACACGAAAAAAGACAAAAAGGAAAAAAAAAAAAAGTTCATGGAAAAATAGAATTAAAAGATAATACAACTGTTTCTAGAACTTTTTGAAGTATTCTCATATTGCAAAAAGTTTCCTGAATATTTTATATTAGTAAACACTGTCTTAGTTCACTTAAAGCCATTTGTCCTTATTCTTTGAGGGTGGGGGATGTCAGCAAATCAGGAGGCAAAATGGTTGCATTCAATAAAACATTATCAAATTCTCTAGTTTAAAAAATATAACTTAAGAGCTGGCCAGTTAGCTCAATTGGTTAGATCATGGTGTTATCACACCAAGGTCAAGGGTTTGGATCCCTATACTGGCAAGCACCAAAAACAAACAAATAAATTAATTAAAATTAAAAATATAATTTGTGAGCTTAGTGATTTTTTTTAAAGATAAACTCCAACTTACCTAGATCTGGCCATTAATATTCTTAGCTTCTGCTGCAGCATCAGGAGTTTAATCATACTTCAAAATACCATATTTTCTTCATTTGCTGACTTAACCTAGAAATAGAAAAAAGTTGAGAATTTCTTATTTTGTTTATTTTTTAATTTTTTTTAAATTTATTTATTTTTTTTCCTTTTTGTCTTTTTTCGTGTCCGGCAACGGGATCGCAACCCTCAGTGTCGCGCCCACACCTCGCCCAGCCAGTGAGCGGGAACCGGTCTGTATGTGGGATCCGAACCCTCGGCGGGAGCGCTGCCGTGCTCCCAAGCGGCACACTGTAGCAGTGCGCCACCGGGCCGGCCCAGAAAAAAGTTGAGAATTTCTTATTTTGTTTAAAGTAATAATATTCCTTATGAGACTTCTGCAACTGTTAGTTCAGTTAATGTATTTAAACAAACTCAAAATTCTAACAAATTGATTAATATACAAGATCAATTTTTAAAATTAGTATGATATGTACATGTTACTACTTCTTTTCAAAAGAAGTAAAAATGCAATAGGTTAAGTTCTATGATGTTTCTGGCTTCTCTGCTACAGCTGACACCAGATAACCCACTTCTCTATAATCTCCTCAGCTGTAAAATGAAGGATTAGTTACGCTAAACCACCTCCAAGGCTCCTTCACAGCTGTAAAAAGCCATTTTAGCCAGTGGCAGACTAATTCTCCACCTCCAATGACTTTTCCTAACCTTCGCTCACTGTCATTACTATTGGAGAACTGACCCTCTTTAGAATCCATCCTCTGTATCTTCCTTTTCCACAAACTGTTCCCCCCAGAACCAAAGAAGTCAGTCAATTAGAAAACATACAGTATGAACAAGCATGCCACTGAGTCACAGGACAGTAAGATTATAGTGATAAATTACAGTCTAGAGTTATAAGAGATTTCACAAGACATTTTTGGAAAACTGATCAATTTATTCACAATGCAGAAAAAAATCAAATTCACTCAAAAAGGGGCATTAATATTTACTAAACCTACCCTATATAGACATTGTGTTAAGGGTTAAGGGAATAGTCTCACTTTAATCTAAATATTAACTTGAGTTAACAAATATTATTGACACCCAAAATAAACTCTTCCAAAACCATGTACCTGCATACAATCAACAATTTCAACTCTGCCCTTCAAATGCCCTATACATAAAATCAGCATGCTGTGTATTTGCTTATGCCCCTTGTGAGATGCTGCTACACCTCACTTTAAGGTGGGTGGCAAACTCAGTGCCTCTTCTTTACCACTTGCTTCTTTTCTCCAGGATTTCAAACATACATCATGTTTTGTCTCTTGCTTGTAAAACAGCCCAGGGCTGAGTTAATTCTACCATAAACCATTTCTCTTGTGTGAATATATATTCTTTGTCCATCTCTCTTTTCTAAGAGATTTTAGCCAATTAACTAAGGAAAATCTCTCTTCCTCACTTTCTTCATTCTACTTCTAAGTATTCTCCAATACCCACACTGAAATGAGGATTATGATAATAAATAATATTAAGAGAAATGAGAGTGATCCACCTGTAGCTCAATATCTAGAAAAGTAGTAAGTTAAAAGAATCAGTGAACCAACTTATAAAGCTCTTCAAAATATTAAACAGCCCTCATTTGAATCTCTGGAAATTTATTATTCTGACCTCCTTTTGAGGATCAATATTTATTCAGTTTTATTGTTCAATTATTTTGATTATTAGCACTGCCAAAGTATTGCAGAGCTTTTGCTTGCTTTTACTGTTTTTCAGTACAAATAGCCAGCATGTCAGTTGTTTCAGGGATTAAAAGACTTTCTGTGCCTCATTTAAAAGGATACTTTCTACAAGAAAACACATTATGAGTTCCAAAGAACTGACATACCAAAGTACTCCTGGGAATGAACACAACCCAATGAACTGCAGGTGTCCTGCCTTTGATTTTCCAATGTGGATGCCTCAGATGCTCTCCTTGACTTCTTAACACCCTTTGGTTTCTCCCCACTATTAGAAAACTAAGAACCAAAAGCTAATCAGGAGGTAGTAAGAGGGAAGAGGTGGGTAAAGCCACTATATGGAGCTCAAATCTTATTGTTGTAACATGGATGTTTTTCTATAAAATAGATATGCATAACAACATTAACTATGATGCTTTCTTAAAGGGAATACAATGATTTTACCAAGAAAATTATCAAGAGGCTAAAAATTACACTAAATGTTGTCTACTACCACCCTATTTTTCTATAATAAACAAATTTTAAAGCCCTACTGTATTCCAGACAGAGTCATTTGGATTATCTAATTTAATCCAAACAATCTATGAGGTAGATACTACCATTATTTCCTTGTTTTAAAACAAGAGGCTTTAAAAGGTTAGGTAGCTTTCCCAAGGTCGATAGCTGATCAGAGGAAAGGCCAGACTTAAATCCTGAACTGACTACAAAAGCCAAGCTCTTACACATGTAAAAAGCTTAAAACAGTGCCAAGCATACAGTAAGCATTCAGCAAATGTTAGCTATTGAAATAATAATTTATTATAAAACAATACTGTATGTCTTTGGCAGTCAACCAACCTCTCTGTGCCTAGATTTCCTCATTTATAAGATTAGGACACCTACTTCACAGAGTTACTGTGAAAACCAAATAAATTCTAAATATAAAGAAATTTAGAAAAGTATACAGTGCCTTAAAAAAACAAGGCATTATTATATTACCACTATCGGTAAAATCCTGTCTCATATCACAAAGAAGCCTTTTGCACTGTAAACACAGAAAGCCTAGAACTTAAGCACCATCCTTATAACAAGTGTTACATTAATAAATTTAGTAAAGCTGTCCTAAATTATTCCAATATGATTCTTGCAGAATGTCAAGCAAAGAGAACACTGAACTCTATTCACAAGCGTGATTATAAATTTGGTGTTTAAGAAGGTATATTTGCTCTCTCGGTTCACTAGCACTGAGGGTAAAACTGGATTATACTACAGAAGTTCTGTTCAAATACAGACAGGACAGAATACCTATAGTTAGAAGCATAGCAACATAACTCTAAATTTTGGGCCCAGCTAACTGCCATGTTTAATTACATTAAAAGAATCAAGAGGATGGCATTCAAAAACCGTGTTCTTTGTGTCCGTTTTTTTTTTTTAAAGTCATTAGGTAGATCTTTTCTTATTTATACACACTAGTTTTTGTTTATTCTTAACATTTACAAGGATTTTTTTTTTTATTACTTATTCTGAGGAGAGGAGTTAAAAAAAAAAAAAAAAAGTATAATGACCAGCCACACACACACAAAAAAGTTAAGGATGGGAGATTCTCAGATTCTCAGTACATTCTACAGCTACCTGATCCAGAGCCATTATGTGAAAAGCAAGGACACCTGCACCATACACACAAAACTACAAAGGTATATTGAGTATTTTTAAGCATCTGTAAAAATTGCTGTATCTGCATATTCCCAGAGTTTTCTTCCTTTACGTTTTTTATTCTAAGGGCAATGTTGGTGAACTGCTTTGCAAATCATAACCCTCCACCCACCTCCCCTTTTTTGAAGTCTTGAAAAAATCAATTACATTACTTACAAATCACTTCAGTATCTGGTACTTTCTTTTCCTGGAAACTCTTTATGTCTAATCTAAATTCCTTGTACTGCAATTTAAGCCAGATTCCTCTCATTTCTCTTTTCTCTGTAAGAGACAAGTAAAACCAGGATGATCAAGAAAGATTAGGGCTGACCAGTTAGCTCAGTTGGTTTGAGTGTGGTGTTGATAATGCCAAAGTCCAGGGTTAGATTCCTGTTACCAGCCAGCCTCCAAAAAAAAAAAGAAAATTAAACACATGCTTAAGTATACTTAAACTGCCATCATTTCATTTTTCTGTGAATATATCTAAAATATTAATAAAGTATGATTTATATCAGACATTGCTGCTTGAATTAAGCTAATAAAGTTACTTAGTAAACAAAATTTTGTAAAAAAACTATCAAAATTAAGGAAAAAATTTTAAAATGAACTTATTCATTTCTCTATCCATAAAGATAAAAGACACATTCTTTGATTCCAAGGAGCTTACTGTCTAGTGAGGGAGACAGGCCAAAAAATGAATACATGGCAGAGTCACAGACCCATGTGCTAGTGCTATCAGAACATTTAACTCATAGCAGAAAGAACAACAAAAGTGTCAAGAAAGACCTCCTGGGAAAGCTGATCCCTAAGTTGAGTCCTGAAAGATGGATGGGAGTTAGCTAGGACAGGGCAATCCAGATCAAGGAGGATGTATGCAAAAGCACACAAGCCTAAACACATATGACCTCCTTCAGGAGAAGCAAGTAGTTCTCTTGAATTCGAATGTAGGGTGTGCATGGGAAAATATCAGGAGACAGGTAGGAAGGTACGTGCCGTGGCCATTTCATGAAAAGTCGATTTGCACTAACTGAGGGCAATTCACATTTTCCCTTGCAATCTCAAAGACATCACTAATGTCCTACCAAAATACTTTTCCTATAGAGGCAGAAAATCTAGATCATATGAGAATTTCACCACAAATTGGTAAGCATAAAATTAATAGTATTTTACTGTCTGTGATGCCCAAAGTCTAATCTTCAAATCACAGTATCCATCTATAAACACAAACATTCCCCTGCTACAGCATCTGAACTTACAGTGAGTGTCACTGTATGATGATGACCTGAACCTCAGATTTCCCTCTCCCTTCCAGACCTAGAAACATCACCCACCTCAACCCCAAATTTCACACTAAATCGGTCAAAGTCACTCTCAATCATGCATTTTGGTTTTTAGGAACAGAAATACAAGAATATGTATATAGATTCTTATATGTATACATAAAACAATTTTGTGTATGTATTTAGCAAATACTAAGAAAATGTTACTAAAATAGTTGCTAAAAATAAAATAAGAAAAAGCTAAAATGGAAGATAATATCAAATACAACCTCTACCTTTAATAATGCTGGTAATAACTCAATCCTGGAGTCTTCCCTTGACCTCGGAATGTACTTATAGCCAGAGATACTGGTGATAAAATTTACACAACTAAATCAGAGTTCCCATAATTTCTGCCCTATGATATGTGCAAACCCAGCAGATAAGTCACTTGGCCTTAGCTAATTCAATAATGTAATCAGTACCAAGGGCAACAATCCCAGCACTTTCAATCACAGGAGATAAACATATTATCAGCCTTTAGAATTCCCAAAGAAAATCTTACTTTAGTGCTTTATGTTGCAATATAAAAGTATGTACAAGGAAATCAAATACTCTCCTTCGGCAATACCAAAGGGATAAACATACTATATGAGGGATCATGTAGCTTTTTCTATTAAAAATTCAGATTGCACCATAGTACAAAAACAAAGAAAAAGAAAGAAAAAAGAAAAGAAAAAAGAGGTGTAATTTCAAGGTAGCAGTAAAAAAGTATAGTACAGGCATTCTCTAGAAAGCATTTATCATTAACTCTGAAACTTTGAATGAATATATTTGACCTTATAAGGATAGTGCATTCAATTTTCTGTAAACACTGTACATCAGAATTCCAAGTTTGTATTCTTTAACTCAGTGATGATTTCTTTATATTAATTATTACAACTGTGTCAGATTAATAAATGATTGTTAATCTCACAATAAACTCTAGTTTATAAGTTTACTAACAAGCAGGGACTGAACTCTAGCATAATAAATACTTAACTTATGAAAAACCATATATCATACAAAATCTTTAACCCAATACCCATTTACTAAAAAGTACTGTGAAACTCAAAGAAACTGCTATTTCCCAAATAAATGTCATATTCTTCTTACTATAATCCTTGAATAACTTAAAGTCGGTTCAATTTTTTCTAATAAAACATTGTGTTTTTACTTAATGAGGTTTTACAAAACTGAGCGACAGTAGGAGGCAAAACTCCAAGTATGAATTTTACAATATCTTCCTTAGTATGATATAACTAATAGTTTTTAAAAAGCATTTGGCTTTATGGCTTTACTCTTTAAAACAACAAAAATTTAAATGTAAGTCACTCTAATTTCAAACTTCATGTTAAATAAATATACAAATTATAACTATATTCAAACTATAAATGTCAACAGACACTAAAAAGACAAGAAAATCCCTAGACATGTTTAATTTTTATATAATATTCTTAACATAGAACTAAATATAAACATTAATGATGGGTAACAAAAGTAAATAAAAAGGTTATTTTTCAAAACTGAATATACAGGTGTATATGTAGGATTTACCATAAATCTATATTTCCAAATTCAGGTGGATATCATGTTACTTACTAGACTAATATTAGAAGCCTAAATATTGACTATGTGTATGTAAAATGTGTATACACATACACACACACACAACCTGCTCAAAATAAGCTAGGCCAAATGCCAACCAACTCTAAATAACACCCAAAACAAATTGTTTCATGAAAGCTCATCAGTTTCTGCACTTAACTCAGTCTAAAATGCTCTTAAACATACACTCAACTTTTCAACTGTTTGAGCAATGCATTCAAAATTACTATTACAAGCTAGCATTTAACAACTCACCTGATTCAAATATCCCACTAATACAAATGTTTGCTCTGTTTTCTAACACTCTCCAATCTTACAAAATATCCACCCCAGAAAGTTAAGCAGAAATATTTACATCCGAGTACATCTATCCATGTGATTAATTTTTATGGGGCCATTAATAAGCATTGTTCAAAGAATGTTTAGTGACAAAGAAAAAAATGTTCATGATATAAAGTTAAGCATACTTACACACACACATGCATGCACGCACGCACGCACGCACGCACGCACACACACACACAAAATGTAATATGGTATCCTGGGTTGAAACCTGGAACAGGAAAAGGACATTACGCTGGCCAGCTGACTCAGTTGGTTAGAGCATGGTGCTGATAGCACTAAGGTCCAGGTTTCAATCCTTGTACCAGCCAGCCACCAAAAAAAGGAGAGAGAGAGAAAACGGACATTAATGGAAAAACAGGTGGAATTCAAATAGTCTGTAGTTTAGTTAATAGTATTATACCAGTG